GGAGGAGAGGGGCGGGGCGGAGGAGGAGAGGGAAGGGGAGGGGCAGGGGCTGCAGCCGGGATTCCGGAAGCCAAGTACTTCTGGGGGTCGAGCAAACTGGGTGGCGATGAGCTCGGCGAAGGAGCTCCCTGGGGCTCGCCCCGCAGGTAGTCCGCGGGGCACGGAGGGGGCGCGGGGCAGGTTCGCGTAGTGTCCCGGCCGGAGGGGACACGGGAGGAACGCGGCCTTCGTCGGCTTTGCCGGATGGCCTCAAGTAGTTGTGGGTCTTGGAGGGACGCGCTCTGGTCCAGTGAGGACAGAGTCACTAGTTGGTCCGGGGAAACACCTCGCAGACCCGGCTGGCGGCTCCTTGCGGGCGCGCGTAGCCGGGGCGTGGCCCTGCCGCCTTTGTCCACCCAGCACTGCGGTCTTCCCAGGAGTCCTGGCCATTTAAACTTTAAAAGGCGGGCCCAGCTGGTCGTGAGGTTCCTCCTCGCCTGGTTTTATGAAAAGTTGGAGGTGGGGGTAGGGTTTAATCTTATTTGCTAACTTCTAAGTAAAAAATAAAAAGCAGCAGATGTTCTGAATAACAAGGAAAGTATCATAGCCCTCGGGTGCCTGGGCTTAGCCTGGAAACAAAGACCTGGCCGTGACGGCAGGGCAGCCCCAGTATCTCCCCTGCATCCAGGAAACCAGCTGCTTCCTGTTCGTTTAAGTTAAAATCACAATAACTTTTTTCTACAAAGTAATTTACTGCTAAACACATCCTTTAAAACGTTCTCCCTGTTAATTGCCATTATGTTACTTGTAAAGTTTAGAAATTTCCAGCCTAGCTAGGGAAAGGAAAAAGTTTGACCTATCAACAGTTGGTTATGGAGTGCCCTCTTTCGGAGCTTTTTATTCTTTGCTATACAAAGGAAGCCTTGCTCCAGAGGCAAGTTGCTAGTCACTACGATCGTTCAAGAAGTGGCCTTGTCTTGGATGAAGGGTGCGGGAGCCTGTGGCAGTCTCCAGTTCTGGAACAAGTGGTGAAGGGTAGGAAGCCGGGCAGCAGGCTCCCCGTCCATACTTGCTCTGCAATTCTTTTCCTTGCCTCTTCCCTTACTTTTCTTTCTCCACCTCAACCCCTTCAGGGTATGGTCTAGACTTAACGCAGGCTACTCAATATGAGGTTGTCTAACAAATTGTTGATGTAGATTTTTATAGGTACTGCAGTAAATGAAGACTATGACAGTAGAATGACTAAAGAAATTTGGCGAAATGAACACTTAGCATAGAAAGGTAGCTGGCCTGTCACTGGTGGGTGGGATACATGGTAACAGAGCACAGAGACTTCAAATGCAGGGTAAAGGCTAACAGAGACTTCAAATGCAGGGTAAAGGCTAGAGTTCGCCAGGATCACAACCAAAGTTTCCAGAGCCCAGTGTCTTTCTATATCCATAACATTAACAACAAAAACCACTTTTTTTAAAAAAAAGACAAGAGTCTTACTTTGTCACTTTTGGTAGAGTTCCATGGTGTCATAGCTCCCAGCAACCTCAAACTCTTGGGTTCAAGTAATTCTCTTGCCTCAGCCTCCTAAGTAGCTGGGACTATAGGTGCCGGCCACAACGCCTGAACACCTGGCTATTTTAGAGACAGTGTCTTGCTCTTGCTCAGGCTGGTCTCAAACCTGTGAGCTCAGGCAATCCACCCAACTCGGCCTCCCAGAGTGTTAGGATTACAGGCATGAGCCATTGCACCCAGCCATAACAAAAAAACAAAAAACTTTTAAAGAAATCCCTCACTAATAAACTAATCTTTTTTAATTTTTTTTTTTTTTTTTTTTTTGGTTTTTTTAAGGCACGAAGTCTTGCTGTGCCACCTAGGCTAGAGTACAGTGGCTGTTCCCAGGCATGATCATAATGCACTATGGCCTGGAACTCCTGGGCTCCAACAATCCCCCTGCCTCAGCCTCCCAAATAGGTAGGACCATTGGTATACACCTCACTGCACTCAGCCGGAATATCATTTAAAATAAAATTCCTTGAACAGCTACTGAGTACTAGCCAAGCTATTCCTAAATCTGTAGGTCTTGACAGTGCCAAGGGCAGTATTTGAGACAACCCAAACTCACATCTTAACACACTGCTGACAGGTCACCAGTTACCTGGTAACATGGATAGTTTCTGTGTAAAATTTCCAGTCAGCAATGTGTTAACATAGCAGCTGGTTACTAATTCATTTCTCCCAGTCTCAGTTCTCTGTTGTCCCAAATTCAGCCTATTTTATTCTTTATCCCCTCCTCATCTCTCAGCTGCTTACAATATAGAAAATCATTTAGCACCTCTAATAATTTTAACATACTGTTGACCCACAATTTTACCCAGAAACTATCCATGTTACCACGTACATCATTTAAAAACTGCGAAGCTTCCTTGCTAAGAATATGAGAAATGAGAACTTTAAAAACCTAATCAACAATATACCTCCAGTGTTTTTACCCTCAGGGACTTGAGTTAGTTTGGTGACCAGCCATTTGGCACAGCTTCTGTCAGATATGCTTGAGCTGCCTTAGGCTCAGCAGTCAACACAGTGCTACCCAGGAGGTAGCTACTGGGTGCTTCTACTCTCTCACTGAGGAAGACCCTGGGTGCCTTCCAAATTGTTCAGAATTCTTGTGCAGGACAGTGGCATTCTGACATAGGGATTTAATTTGCTTAAAGTTACTCTATTTCTTCATAATATAGATAGGTGTATTTTGCAGTAAATGTATTTGTGTAGCATTCTCTCCACTTCTGTTTATAAAATTATTTCTTATTTTGCAGGTAATAGTTGGAGTGAGAAAGCATTGAGCTTTAATTTAAATTTCATTTGTTTATTAGCAAGCAGTTTCCCTTCTCTCTGTGTAGTTTGGCTGCTTTTTTTTGAGACAGAGTCTTACTTTGTTGCCCTCGGTAGAATGCCATGGCAGCATAGGCAGCATAGCTCACAGCAACCTCAAACTCTTGGGTTCAAGCAGTTCTCTTGCCTCAGCCTCCCAAGTAGCTGGGTCTACAGGCTCCTGCCATGATGCCTGGCTATTTATAGAGATGAGGTCTTGTTCTTGCTTAGGCTGGTCTTGAACCTGTGAGCTCAGGCAAGCCACCTGCTTCGGCCTCCTAGAGTGCTAGGATTTCAGGTATGAGCCACCACGTCTGGCCCAATATTTAGGCTTTTAAACTAATCAAAATAGGACAGTCTTAGAGTTTGGAAGTCAGAAGGAGGATGGGAGTTCTCCCTGTGTTTTACTGCCATAAGCCAAAAACAAATTAACAAAAATCAACTTCTTATTAATAGGTGGGGAACAAAACATGACAGAAACCGATGCCTTCTATAAAAGGTAAAAATGTGCTTTTCTTAAAAAGGACTCTTCTTTGGTGGTCATGATCAGCCTGTAAAAATCAAAGTGAGAATGGGACCTGGGAGCTAGAAAGTAGAACTAAGTATGCAAGTTTTAGCATTTGGGGAATTAATTTGTAGATAAGCAGGTTAGCGGATACCTCTGGTTGTCAAAGGACCTGGAGTGATGTTCAGAATAATTGGAATGGTCAATGATAATTGGTACGTACGACATGAGCCTAGTGCTAGAGCTTGGCCCTTAGCCAGGCTGTTGTCCTCAGTTTCTGGATCTGGGGAATTAGGGGAAAGACATCCAGACAGAGGGTTATGGATTAGAATAGCACATGGCCTCTGTTTACCAATGGTACAGAAATGTTTCAGGATTTTCCTTTCCTGAGCATGGCCTTTCCCAGAGCACACCAGTGGAATATCAGCCTGGTAAAGGAAGAGGTAGCAGTGTACCTCCTTTCTACACATTGACCTTGGGCTTGGAGGAACTCATTATTTAATATGACTGATTGTTTTTGAACTTTTCATTAACAGAGAAATGTTTGATCCAGCAGAAGAGTACAAAATGGACCACAAGAGAAGAGGAATTGCTTTAATCTTCAATCATGAGAGGTTCTTTTGGCACTTAACACTGCCAGAAAGGCGGGGCACCAGTGCAGACAGAGACAATCTTATCCGCAGGTAGTCCTACTGGCAAGATGAGACACTTGAGTGAAAGCAGAATTACTTATCACTCATGAGATAACAGATCAAGGGCATTTGATGATAAGCCTCACTTGAACAGGGCCTCCCTTAAGAACTTGCCTGAGTTATCTTCCTTACTCTGTTCTATTAAATATTAACAGGCTTTGCATTGTTACTGACTTGCATAGTAGACAGCAATATTCTAAATTGAATTGGCTATCATGATTAAATCTTTTCCTACTAGTGGGTGAAGCAAGGGAAAATCATAATTGTCATATTTTTTTCTCCTAAAGAAAGTAAATTTATGTCATAAAAATGTGTAGAGTCCTCAAATGTAAATATTGTTTGATTAAAGATTAAATTATTTCTTTAAAGAATTCATTTTTTTCTTCCCCTAATCATATGAATGTAACTATTGGACAACTTTGAAAAACTTATAAGCTAACTTTCCATTTAACATATCACCAGGTTTTCAGATCTAGGATTTGAGGTGAAATGCTTTAACGATCTTAAAGCAGAGGAACTACTGCGCCAAATTCATGAGGGTAGGTTGTTTTGCTGTTGTATACAGTTCATCTTTCTCTGATAGGATTTAGTCCTTTATCCTTTCTATAAAAACAGTGCACACAGTTAGTACACACAGTATCGATATAGCATGTGTTACAGGTTTTAGTTGTGCCTCTGTATTACCCACGAGATTTAGAGACCTTGGCAAACTGTTATGCCTTCAAAGTTTATATTTAGCAGACTGCTAATTATAGTCTACTACTCTAGAAGTGAATGAAATGACCTGTTGATTTGGTGGTGAAAGTCTAGGATGCATATACTATAGGTGCTGGGCAATCAGTAGCTCATTTTTTAATTGATTCTTTTCATACCCCATTTTCTTACTGCTACAGAATATGAGTGTTGATTTATATTAATTTTCTCCTCCAATTTCCACAACATCCCTGTGCAATAGGTATTTTAATTATAATGCAACTTATAATCATCTCTGCATGCCAAGTTTTCAAATCACTTGCCAATTAACTACGATATTTGGATAGTTATTCTAAACTTTCTTCAGAGCTCTTCTTTAAACTATGTATCATTTTAACTGGCTGCTTACCAGACTTTCTGCTTTGCTCACAAGCTTTGGAGGCTATCAGTTTCATGTCTTCATACTCTTTTGGAAGGTCTGAGTGCTGCAGATATAAAGTGAAGGTATGACCTTCTCTGGAGATGCAACATGTGGGGAGTTGCTGAGTCGCAGTTTCTGGGTCTTCCCAGTCTGCTCTAAGAAGGTCTTTGCTGATTCAAAGAAACTTTTAATTGTCAAAATAGCTTGGATTCTATTTTATTCTTTTGAGATGGGATCTCACTCTGTTGCCTACGCTGGAATGCAGTGGCATGATCATAGTCACTGCAACCTTGATCTCCTGGGCTCAAGCAATCCTCCTGGCTCAGCCTCCCAAGTAGCTAGGATCACTGTACCTCCCAAGTTATTCTTATTTTTTGTAGAAACGGACTCTTGCTATGTGTCCCAAGCAGGTCATGAACTCCTGACCTCAAACACTCCTCTGGCCTTGGCCTCCCAAAGTGCTAGGATTAGCCACCATGCCTGGCCATCCATAACTTGGGTTTTAAAGGAGGTTTCTCATAATTCTTTTGTTTTCTACATCATTCAGTGTTTAAGAAAAGCTAATGAAACTTAAATTGAATAAGATTGAGTTTTTAAAAATCAGATACAGTGTAGTATAAATTATTTGATCAAAGATTAAATTATTTCATTACAGATATTTTATTTTTTTTTAATTTTTTTTTTTTTTTTTTTTGAGACAGAGCCTCAAGCTTTCTCCCCTGGGTAGAGTGCTATGGCTTCACTGCTTACAGCAACCTCCAACTCCTGGGCTCAAGCGAGTCTCCTGCCTCAGCCTCCCAAGTAGCTGGGACCACAGGCGCCTGCCACAATGCCTGGCTATTTTTGGGGGGGGGGGAGGTTGCAGCCATTATTGTTGTTTGGCAGGTCTGGGCTGGATTCAAACCTGCTACCTTAGGTGTATGTGGCTGGCACCTTAGCCGCTTCAGCCACAGGCGCCGAGCCCAGATATTTTATATTAAAGAACACATTTTCTTTCTCCTTAGTCATATGAATATAACTATCTTAATATTAGTAAATTTAATATTTATATATAGATAACAAGCATATTTTCATTTCTATGTGGACTTTTGGGGGGCCTTTTGTAGTGTCAACTTCTAGCCACAGAGATGCCGATTGCTTTTTATGTGTCTTCTTGAGCCATGGAGAAGGGAATCACATATATGCATATGATGCCAAAATTGAAATTCAGACACTAACTGGTTTGTTCAAAGGAGACAAGTGTCAGAGCCTGGTTGGAAAACCCAAGATATTTATCATTCAGGTAAGACTGAATACATTATCATCTTACGTATTAAAGTCCCTGGTTTTAAACATGTGATAAAGGTCTAAAAACCAATTTTGAAAGTAACCAGAAAGGCCTTTTTTGAATCTTGGCCAATCAGAGTTGTACTTTGAGCTATCTGTAATAATTCTTTCTTCACACTCACTATCTTTATTACATAGAAACAGTATTTGGATTGACATTTGAAGTGACTCACAAAATAATCAATGTGCTACTCCCTGGCCAAGCCTGGTGTCAAGGTAGAGCACCTGGGAAAGGTGTCTGCTGATGGAAGGGTGCCAGGCAAGACAGCCTGACCACACTGACTTTGCTTTGGGAGCTGGAGAGCATATAAACCAGTAGAAAGAATGTAGGAATAAAGACTTCCAGTCCTAATATGCTTCATTCCTTTCACATTTCCCCTTAAGCCAAGAATGCCCCCCTCCACCAACCTTGGGGGTGGGTGGCTGTAAGAAAAGAAGTATAGATTCGGCGCCCATGGCTTAGCGGTTACAGTGCCAGCCACATACACTACTGGAACTGGCGGGTTCAAACTCAGCCTGAGCCTGCTAAACAACAACAAAAAATAGCTGGGCATTGTGGCGGGTGCCTGTAGTCCCAGCTTTTTGTAGTGCCTCTTCTGAGGCAAGAAAATCAATTAAGCCCAGAAGTTTAAGGTTGCTGTGAGCCGTGATGCCTCGGCACTCTGCTAAGGGCAACATAGTGAGACTCTGTCTCAAAACAAAAGTATAAGCCAGATAATCCTAAGATTAAAACAGATTGAATTCTCCCTGTAAAAATGGGATATTAAGGATCTTCCCTTTATTTAATAACTGAAATTACTCAGGACTTTATTTTGATGCTTTTAATTCTGGAACTAACCATTTCTGAAATAATTGATGTATTTAAAATGCCACAACAGAATCTCATTAAGTCACTATATTAATTTATGAGGCTACTGTAATAAAATACCACAGAACTGGGTGGCTTAGACAGCAGAAATTTATCTCACCACTATGGAGGCTAGAGGTCTGAGATAAATCCCTTTTATCTGAGGTTTGTTTTTTCTGGGGCCTCTCTCCTTGGCTTGTAAGTCGCCATCTTATCCCTGTGGCTCATACGGTCTTTACTTCTGTACATGTCTATACATGTCTGTGTCTTCTGGTAAGGACACTAGTCAAACTGGATTAGGGCCCACTCTTACAGCCTCATTTTATCTCAGTCACCTCTTAAAAGGCCCTATTTCCAAATACAATCAGATTTGGGATAGCAGGGCTAGAACTTCCACATTTGAATTTTGGGGAGATAATTCTGCTCACTAATAGTCATTTGAGTAGAATTTAGTGTTAGCCTCTGAATCATAATTAGTGGTGAAGAATTTACCACTTTCAAGTGGTAGCACATTAATAGGTACCTATTCTTAGGCCAGGCAGTGTCATTTTGGCTGAATGTACGGCATCAGCCAGGCAGGCAAAGCCCCATCTGGAAATACAGTACCTGATTAGAAACACTTAGGTAAATAGCTTTTAAAAGAGAATATGGTTTTTGGTGCTATGGGTGTGGTTAATCTTTAAGAAACTTAAAACCACAAGCTTTTTCCTTCTATGCAGTATACCTTTCTACGAACATAATTTGGGATGTATTTGGGGATGCCAATATTTTTTTAACATTAACTAAAAAAAAACACAAGTTGGGAAATGACTTTGTCAGTTTTAGTCCCCTCTAAACCTGAATGTACTGCTTTTGACCTGCTTATAACGTGGCTTCTGTTGCTATTGATATGACAGCGTACTGACATACACATTCACTGTACACAATAAGCACTGGGAAGAAAATGGCAGGCCAAGGAGGTGTTTTTTTCCCTCCTTGTTCTGTAGGCATGTCGGGGAGACCAGCACGACGTACCCGTCATTCCTTTGGATGTAGTGGATCATCAGACAGACAAGCTGAACACCAATGTAACTGAGGTGGACGCAGCCTCAGTTTACACATTGCCTGCTGGAGCAGACTTCCTCATGTGTTACTCTGTTGCTGAAGGTGTGTTAGTGTGTAATTTAACAGATGTATAATTGGCTCCGTTGGTTGAGTTCCTGTAAATTTCACCTTTGGTTTGGATCAGATCTTTCTGTTGGGACATGATGACTTGATCCTGAAGCTGTCAGCTTAGAAAGGATTTCTTTGGCACAAAGAAATAAATGAAAGTATAAAAACCTTACAGAGAAATCACTCCTAAGCTCTATGTTGAGTAAAGCAACAAGTCTAATTATAGTCAATACCAGCAGCCTATTTATTACTGACAGTGGTTATGCTACTGTGGTAATACTCATGGAAAGCTTTGCTGAAAAATATTTTGGTTATAGTTATTCTTTGCTTGCACACAGTAAATAATGTTGTTTTGCTTTCTAATAATCTCTGTCTCTTCATCTTAGCAATGTTTTAGGAAACAGAGGAAATTATATAGAATTTAATCCCATTTATATAAAGCTATATAGAATTAATCTCTTTTCTTGGGAACAGTCAACAGAAAAATTTTAAAACTGTAAAATTTTGGGGGGGGGGACACAAAAAATGGACACATCTTAATCTTTTCAAGTGAATTTTGAAAGCTCATACTCCTGTAACTATAAGGTGTTTTTCAGTCACAGTAACTGAAAGCCAGAAAACTATAATAATGTCTTCCTCATTTTTTTAGGTTATTATTCTCACCGGGAAACTGTGAATGGTTCATGGTACATTCAAGACTTATGTGAGATGTTGGGGAAATATGGCTCCTCCTTAGAGTTTACAGAACTCCTCACTCTGGTGAACAGGAAAGTTTCTCAGCGCCGAGTGGACTTTTGCAAAGATCCAAGTGCAATTGGAAAGAAGCAGGTTCCTTGCTTTGCCTCAATGCTAACTAAAAAGCTACATTTCTTTCCAAAATCTAAGTAATAGGGTGTATTTTTATCTTATGATCTGTATTCAAAATATCTTTTTTTTATATACATAAGGATCACTACATTGAAGCATATGGTCCTGAAATTTTTGGTTTGGTTTTTTTTTCATTTAAATAGTTCATGTTGGACATGGTGAAAGGATTTGCTTTGATATATAGAAACAAAATCCTTGGGGAATTATTAATACTATAAATTAAAATCTATGAGATTTTTATAATTTTTTTTCTTAGTAAACTGCAAAGCTACACAAAATGCCCAATTTAACTTTTTTTTTTTTTTTTGAGAGTCTTATTGCCCTCAGAGTGCCATGGTGTCACAGCTCACAGCAACCTCAAACTCTTGGGCTTAAGCTATTCTTTTGCCTCAGCCTCCCAAGTAGCTTGGGACTACAGGTGCCCACCACAATGACCTGGCTATTTTTTTGTTGTATTTGTCATTTGTTGTTTAGCTGGCCTGGACTACATTCAAACACAGCAGCCTTGGTGTATGTGGCTGGCACAGTAACCACTGTACCACGAGTGCAGTGCTGAGCCTGGCCAATTGACCTTTTATACCTGTTTTTGGACTTTATAATGTTTTTAAAGGTTTTTGAAACCTAAGAATTAGGTTGCTATCCCTTAATAAAATATTTGAAATTCATGTTTTATTTTAATTTTCTAATTCACATTCTTACTCATAATTTATGGCAGACTTATGAATTCCTACTTTAAAAAATCAGCTTGAGGATGAAATATAAAACATAATAATTTTTAGCTACTATAGGCCAAACACCTGCAAAATCCAATTATATGTTAGCATCTTCCATGTTGAGTTCCTACATACTGTCCTATCATTGTGAGACCCACTCATAGACTATCACATTAATAGAATAATAGATGCTAGTAGTAAGGTCTAATTCTTATTAATATATACAATTTGAATAATACTGTTTTATTAATAGCCTTCCAGAGTCTGGAGAAGGTTAACTGTTAGGGCTTTCTTTGAAACTTGTGAGTTGCTAGTTCAAAAGCCATAGTTTGCACATGTTTCAGTTGTAGTTCAGAAAGTACCATTTGTGCTTTCTAGTTAGTAGGATGTTTAACCCTTTTTGATAAATGATCACAATCTTCCTTCTGGGCACTACATATTAAAAAGAGAAGTTGGGGCTTGGCACCTGTAGCACAGTGGTTATGGCACCAGCCACATACACTGAGACTGGCAACTTTGAACCGGTCCTGGGCCTGCTAAAAAACAATGACAACTACAACAAAAAAACAGCTGGGTGTTGTGGCAGGCACCTGTAGTCCCAGCTACTTGTGAGGCTGAGGCAAGGGAATCACTTAAGCCCAAGAGTTTGAGGTTGCTATGACCTGTGATGCCACTGCACTCTACTGAGGGTGACATACTGAGATTCTGTCTCAAAAAAAATAAAAAGAGAAGTTGGGAGAAAGGGGGCAAGATGGCTGACTAGAGACATCAGTCACCAGATTATCCCAGAAAAAGGAAAGGTTTTGGATGAAAAAAATACCTCAGGTGTAATGCTGAGAGAAAAGTGCCAAAACTTCACAGAGATCCTATAGGAAGAAGTTGCAGAGTAGACAAGGAGCAAGATTCAGCAGAGATCAACCATCAGAAACATGAAGTTGCATAGAAAGAGTAAGTAGGTGTGTTTCTCCTTCTTCACACTTGGTAGTCAGCAGGCTCTCAAGCTGCTTGAGAGCTTCTCTTGAACCTAAAAGCTGCTGCTCCCAATGAACTGGGAGCTCTTGAAAACAGCCCACTTGGAGCCACTTTCTGTGGCCACACACCTGAGCTGAGATGGCACAATGTTGCTTCTCCACCCATTGTATGTCTTTATCCTTTCCAGGGAGCTTCAACCCTGGTCCCTACACAAACATTTCCAAAGAGGAAAACCCACTCCTAATAGCCAGTCTTGAATTCTAGACAACCAGCAGCTGGTGGGGCTGCATCAGCACCTGCCCAGTGGCTTTCCACACTGGCCTGGGAACTAACCCTTGACCCCTCTGAGATAGCTCTTGTGCCTGACTTTATGGAGCCTGAATATAAACTCCCCTGACCTAGCACCACCTAGCCTCATTCCTCCACCCATCTCTGCATTTGTGGAGATTAAGAAACCCCTTGGAGCTCCAGGGTTCCACATATTGCCTGGGACTACTGAGTCCTGATGGACTGGAACCACATAGGTTTAAAAAACAATACTGTAACTGTTTTCCTGCAAATACCACCTATTGTCAGGGAGGTAAATTTAGTTCTAGCTACTTAGGAGGCTGAAGCAGGAGGATCTCTTGAACTTTTTGGAGAATGAGACTCCAAAAAAAAAGAAAAATCACAAAATGACAACGTAGTATCACATCTCAGGGAAATACCATATCTCCGGGAAATAAGAAAAAGAACAAAGCCAACAGAATAAGAGAAATAACAAAACTCTGAGCAGCACTAAACAAAGTGGAAACCAAACAAAACAAAGGGTCAACAAAACAAAAAGTTGCTTTTTTGGTAAGATAGATAAAATTGATAGACACTAGCCAGATTAGCCAGAAACAGAAAAGAACTCAAATAAGCTCAAGCAGAACTGTGAATACTATGAAGACCTCTGGGCAAACAAACTAGAAAACTGAAAGAAAATGAAATGGATAAATTCTTGGAAACACAACCTCCCAAACATAAATCAGGAAGAAATATAAATCTTGGATAGACCAGTAATAAGCGGTGAGACTGACGCAGTAATAAAAAATTTCTCCCAAACAATGAAAGAACCCTGGACCAGATGTATTCACAGCTGAATTCTACCAAACCTACAAAGAACAAGTACTATCCTATAGAAACTATTCCATAACATCAAGGAGGGAATGCTCCCTAAATCACTTATGAATCCAGTATCACCCTGATAGCCAGGAAAGGATACAACAAAAAAAGAAACTACACATCAATATCCTTTATGAACACTGACATAGAAATCCTCAACAAAATAGTAGCAAACCAAATGCAACAGCACATCAAAAAGATAATCTATCATGATCAAGTGGACATCATCTCAGGGGTGCAAGTATGGTTTAGCATATGCAAATCAATAAATGACTTAACTACATAAACAGAAACAAAAACAAAGACTATGATCATGTCAACAGATGCAGAAAAGGGATTCAACAAAGTCCAGTACTTTTTCATGATAAAAACTCTCAATAAACTAGGCAAAGAAGGAACATACCTCAAAATTATGAACGCCACATATGACAAACCTACAGCAAACAGCACATTAAATGGGGAAAAGCTGAAAGCATTCCTCCAAAGAACTGGAACAAGACAAGGGTGCCCATTGTTACCACTTCTACTCAACATATTATCGGAAGTCCTAGCCAGAGCAGTTAGGCAAAAGAAGGAAATAAAGGGCATACAAATCAGAAAAGAGAACATCCAAAATACCAAATCATATTTCACAGATAGAGAAAAAATAACGTTAAGCTTCATTTGGAACTATAGCCTGAATAACCAAAGCAATCTTAAACAGAAAAAATCTGGAGATATCCCATTACTTGACTTCCAATTATACTTATAAAGCTATAACAAACACATGAAAAAATGCTTATCATCTTTAATCATCAGAGAAATGCAAATCGAAACCACTCTGAGATATTATCTAACCCCAGCAAGATTAGCCCACATCACAAAGTCCCAAAACACCAAATGCTGGCGTGGATGTGGAGAGAAAGGAACACCTCTACACTGCTGGTGAGATTGCAAACTAATACAGCCTTTTTGGAGAGAAGTATGGCGAATCCTCAAAGATCTAGAAGTAGACCTTCCATTTGACCCCGTAATCCCATTACTAGGTATCTACCCAGAAGAACAAAAATCATTTTACCACAAAGACATTTGCACTAGAATGTTTATTGCAGCTCAATTCATAATTACCAAGTTGTGGAAGTAACCTAAGTGCCCATCAACCCATGAATGGATCAATAAACTGTGGTGTATGTATACCATGGAAGGTTATTCAGCCATTAAAAAAGATGGAAATTTTACATCTTTTACATTTACCTGGATGGATGGAGCTGAAATACATTCTTCTCAGTAAAGTATTGCTAGAATGGAAAAATATCCAATGTGCTCCATGCTAATATGAAATCAATATATAAACAATTACATGCTCATAAAAATAACAAAACACTAATATAGTCCAATTCAGGGGTAGTAGGAGGGGGGAAGGAGGGATCTCACCTAGTGTGCACACTGTGAGGGTATATAATACGCCCCCTGGGCAAGGAGCTCTTCTACAAATGGAACTTCAAATGTAACCCAAAAATTGTACTTTTGTATTAATTTGAAAAAATTCAAAAAGTACAGAACAAATTATACTATAAGACTATAGAATCAAAACAACATGGTACTGGTGTAAAAGTAGAGACACAGACCAATAGAACAAAATAGAGAACCTAGAAATAAAGCCATCTTATCTATAACCAACTAATCTTTGAAAAACAGACAACATACACTGGGGAAAGTAAGCTGGGCAAACTGAAGAGCCACATGCATAAGAATAAAACAGCATCCCTATCTCCATATACAAAAATTAATTCAAGATGAATTAAAGACTTTAATGTAAGGCATGAAACCATAAAATCTTAGAAGAAAATGTGGGAAAAACTCTTTTATACTTCAGCCTAGGCAAAGAATTTATCAACAAGACCCCAAATGCAAATATGGCAACAATAAAAATAAATAAATAAGACTAAATTAAAGAACCTCTGGTCAGCAAAGGAAATAATCACCAGAGGAAACAGATAACCTACAGAATGGAGAAAACATCCACCAACTATACACCTGACAAAGGACTAAGATCCAGAATCTTTTTTAAAGGATTCAAACAAATCAACAAGAAAAAAACAACCCCATCAACAAGAAGGCAAAAGATACAAACAGAAGTTTCACAAAAAAAGATAAGATTTTTTGATAAGCCCACAAACCTATCAAAAAATACTTGACATCACTAATCATCAGGGCATTTCAAGGTAAAACCACAGTGAGATATGACTCTATCCCCGATGGCATGGCCATTAGTAAAAAGTCAAAAACAACAGATACTGGGATGGATGCAGAGGAAAAAATGCTTATACACTGTTGGTGAGACTACTAATTAGTACAACCTCTATGAAAAACAGTATGGCAATTCCTCAAAGAAGTAAATATAGGCCAACCATTTGATCAAGCCATCCCACTGCTGGGTATCTACCCTAAGGAAATGAAGTCATTTTATCAAAAAGGCACCTGCACTCAAGTGTTTATTGCAGCACAATTCACAGTTACAAAGATGTGAAATCAACCCAAATATCCTTCAATTCTTGAGTGGACAACGAAAATGTGGTGTGTATATATGTATGTGTGGGGGGTATATGTGTATATACATATGTATGTATGTATCCACACACCATGGACTACTACTGAGCCATAAAAAGGACTCAGATTATGTCAACTGAGGCAAGTTGGATGAAAATGGAGACCACTGTCCCAAGTAAAGTATCTCAGGAATGGAAAACCAAACACCATATGTTCTCATTAATAAGTGACCACTAGTAGATGGGTACACAAAGACACAAAGCATAGGCTCGGCGCCTGTGGCTCAAGTGGCTAAGGTGCCAGCCACATACACCTAAGGTGGCGGGTTTGAATTCAGCCAGGGCCTGCCAAACAACAGTGATGGCTGCAACCAAAAAAAATATAGCCAGGCGTTGTGGCGGGCGCCTGTGGTCCCAGCTACTTGGGAGGCTGAGGCAGGAGACTCAGGAACCTAGGAGTTGGAGGTTGCTGTGAGCTGTGATGCCACAGTACTCTACCCAGGGGGAAAGCTTGAGGCTCTGTCTCAAAAAAAAAAAGACATAAGAGGGGTGGGAGGCTTAGCATGGGATAGAAGCTTACCAATTGGGTACAATGAACACTCTTTTGGTGATGGGCACACCAAAAGCCCTCACTTAAGCATTATACAAGATATCCATGTAATAAAAACACTTTTACCCCCCTAATAGTTTGAAATAAAAATAAAACAATAATGTGGCCAGGCATGGTGGCTCACAACTATAATCCCAGGACTCTGGGGGGTCTGAGGCGGGAGGATAGCTTGAGGCCAGGAGTTTGAGACCAGCCTGAGTAACATAGAGAGACCCTGTCTGTACAAAAAATACAAAACATAAGTTAATGACAAGGTAATGACAAGGTAATTCCATGGGAAGTTTTCAGGCAGGAGGATTGCTTGAGTCCAGCCTGGGCAACATAGAAAGACCTAGTCTTTAAAAAAAAAAAAAAAAAAAAGGTTTTTGGGGGACTGGGTTTGAACCAACCACCTCAGGTATATGGGACTGGTGCCCTACTCCTTTGAGCCACAGGGGCCACCTCCCCCCTAAAAAACAAAAAGTTTTAAAAAAAAAAGAGAAAAGATGGTCTCAAGTGAAGTATAAAATGAGTGTATATGGAAAGCATACCAAACCTTTCCTCTCCACATGGGAAATAAACACAGAAAGGTCTGACAAGCTGACATTAGCTAAAAGCAGCAGCTAATGCTTTGATGGATGCATACAAGCCCTTTCTAACATTACCAAGTGATGAAAAAACACAAACTAAAACGTTCAAGTGAGAACTTCAAAGAATACTTCTGTTTTGTGAGCATTTATTAACTAAAAAAAGATTCAACGGTCAAATTGAAACGACCTATAGGGCTCAAAAACAGCTACTTTTTAAGTTGCAAAATCAATACATAATAGGAAAATCCAATGATGTTTAAAAACATAAGACTGATTCTTTTCATCGAATTCTTCTACTTGCATTTGCAAAGAGAATGACGCACCTGTTTCAGAGATTCTTTAGCCTGTCAAGGGAAAAACAAAAAGCACATGATCAGAGAGAATGAGAAACATCAGCATTACTACTTGAGAGGAATTCTATGCATTTATGATATCCTTAGTGCAATAATATATTTAAACTACTAGTGGCAAGGCCAAGTGTGGTGGTTCATGCCTATAACCACCTTTGGGAAAACAAGGCAGGAGGACTACATGAGTCCAAGAGCTCATGGCTGCAACCACTTATAATTGTACTCCAGCCTGGGGCAGCAGAGCCAGACTTTGTCTCGAAATAAAAATAAAAATTAAAAATAACAAAAAAACTGTTAGTGGCAAATGCCTAAAAAAAGATGAGTTTAAGATTTCTAACTCCTCTTTATTCTTTTTAAAAAATATTAGTTTATTATCCCTTAATGGTTTTTCTAGGTTGCATCCTTAACGAAACATTCTTAAAAATAATACTTTACAAGGTGTTATATTTAAATTTTAAATGCACTGTCCTATAAACTCACAGAAAGAACATTCTTTAGCCTTCTCAGATTGGATCATTCAAATGTAAGGAAAGCCATAAAATTAAAGCATTATTGTATGTTTTCTATAGAATGATTATATAAAATATTTTTCTAAAAAGGCTTTTCAACTTTTGGATCATAGTATTCTAGTAATTTTTTTTTTTTTTTTTTTGAGACAGAGCCTCAAGCTGTCCCCCTGGGTAGAGTGCCGTGGCATTACAGCTCACAGCAAC